TTAGTTATGTGTTCTATTAAAAAAAATAAAAAAAAAAAAAAAAATTTCGTACAAAAAAATTATTAATTCTGTGAGTTTTTCTTCTCACTTGTTCTTTCTTTAATTGCAATTTATAAACGTCTATATTAAGATTCAGAATTCTTTATATTGCACATGTCTGAAAATGCATCGTGGGATGGTATCGCGATATTCTCCTCCTTCCTTCTACCGTTACTTCTTGCACTAGTTTGCCGTTTATATGTGTATTATCGTGATATTACTCCGCGTCATTGTTTATGCGATTGCAATCTTTAATACGAAACTCCAGAGGCCGCTTCTTTTTACATCTGAATTGTAAATTTCGTGGGCCGCGTGCGTGGAATGATAAATACTATCCTTCGTTTTCGTAGAGAGCCGACTCCCCGGAGGACTGTACGTGACTCAGTCCGGAGAATAGCTCCTTGCTTCTTGCGAAGCGGCGGATTGAGCTTTTCGATGCTTTTTCCCGCCGCGAGAAGGATAACCACAAGAGATAACTGCGAACGAGCAGTGAATTAAATCGAAGTCAATATTTCCCTTGAATTATGAAAGAATCGCCGAGAGATACCGGCGGCAAGATCGTAGACAGGTGAATCGAGTCGAATGTTTCATCGTTAACTTAAGAAATAATTCACTGTAAATTTCGTCGGGGAAGCCATTACTAATAAATTTCTATCGATCGCCGATGAATCGAAGGCCGGAAAGTGATCTTGACGTTTTATTGAAAAATTACGTGGAGTCTAATAAAGCGTTACTTTAATTGTTGGCGCGGAAGAAAGGAGAGACGGGAAGAAAAGTGGAATTTTTAAGAAAAAGTTCTGGCGCAAAATTAAAAACTACAACGCACGTACCGCTTTCGAATTTTGAAAATGATAATAATTCTGTATTATTAGCCGATGCACGTAATTCAAATTGGCTTATTCGATTTTTTTACACATACGCTCAGAACGCACATATAACCGAGTATTACAGCTCGTTAATTATCACCGATGATCTCGAATCCAATAACCCTGATGCGTGTTATTAACTTTTGCGGCAATAATTTATATTTCGCAATATTTTACATTTATTTCGCTTCATTTATCGCGTTCGAAATCGCAAGCAAGCTTCTTCCGTTTTTTTCACAGATTATCATTCATTGAGATTTCTCGATCGGCGAATGAATCGGTCGCTATCTTATATGACAGATATTAACACCGTCAATGGTGGTGTGTTTCGTTATTTAATGTCGATTCATTGCCGAGCGTCTCCGAATCTACGACCCTACTGATCCTCGAATGAGGATTGCAGTTTTCTGTTCCGCGCGAATTGCGGATCGAGCTTTTCGATACGAAATCCCGGAGTAAAGGCCGGAAGGAGGAAAAGGAAAATCTAAGAAGACAGAGAGAAGGAAAGGGGTTGGAAGGGGGCTGAACGACCAGTAGATCAAACCGAATCCAATAACTCCCGTGGGATTACAACTCTGGTCCACGGGAACCGATCGTATCCCGGGGAGATGGCGGGTGTGAGACGTGGGACAAGAAGAGTGGGGGGGAGGGAGGAGGATGAAGGAAGTTTAGAAAGGTGGTCGCTCGTCCGAAGGAAGGAGATTGGCAGCTTTCTTCTTCGCCACGACGATATTTTGTCGAGCTCGACCCGAATGTAGAGAAACAGCGCGAGCTGCATTCGTATCAGCCGACACGGCGGGTGGATCGGGAGGATGCAGCTGGAGCTCGCGTGGTGCGGAGAAACGGAGAAAGACAATGAATTCGCAAGCTCGATATCCTACTCGGACACGTAGCCAATATTAATCCGCCGCGGCGGTCGCAATAATTGCCGCCACTTTTTATATATCGGATAGGATCGTTCCTCCGGGGGAACGCGCGGGCAATCGGCAAGCGACCGAGCCGAGCCACCTACCCGTTAAATGATAAGAAAATACGCTGTTCAATCACGAGCTTGTCAGGCTCAACCAGTTTTCGTGACGCGCCTCGCAAGCGTATCCGGCAAATTGAATTTCTCGAGACGCCCGCCTCGCGTCGGATCCCGATTTCGCGGCGGCGAATCGCACGCGAGTTTGCACGCGAGGCGAACGGACGGGGAGGAGGGGGGAGGGGAGGGACTTAGCGCCGGTTCCAGGCCGGCCAAGGATAGCCACGGACGGTGTAACTTATAAGTCGTTCGCGGGATTTTGACAAATCGTCCGAGCTCGACCAGTTCTCGATTTTCTTCTCACCCTTCCTTTTTTCCCTTCTTTTCCCTTCTTCTACATTTCCCTTCTTCTCTTTTCTCCCAGCCCACTCCCCTCCTCTCGTTTCCTCCCTCCCGGTTGATCCAGCCGCCTCCTAGTGCCGGCACACTAAATCCTCGTGCCACACCGCGCGAAAACTTTTTCCCCGCGAAGTTGGAGTTTTCTCGGGTTTATCGGCGGTGCGGGTAGTTTTTACTTGAAACTTCTTTTTTTTTCTTTTCGCCTCCACCCTTCCGCGCCCCGACGTCCGGTTATTCTCCTCTCGTTCTTTTCGCCGCCGCCGTGGCTGGTTCCCGATCGTCTTTACGTGAATCAGATAAGACCCTACGGCCACGCAAATCAAGTGGAATAAGCGGCTGCGCCGATTCGCCCGATCGGCCGAGAGCCTCTCGCAATCGATACGATATCGCGAGAGGATCCCTTGTGCTCGATGATAAGGTTTATCGAGTTACGTTCAGCCGATAGCTTTAACAATTGCTTCATTATTATCTCGTCTTGGAATGATAACGGCGATCTCGTATTGTTTCGCATTTAACTTGACGTTAAACGCGACCGCCTTAGGAGATCCTTGAGCTTCGGTCGGAGATAACGTCGTAAGTTACGTCGGGATAATTTCGGCATAACCTAACCGCGAAGAAAATCGCATACACACTTTCATATGGACACGCTAAAAAATGCATTGCGTGTTCCAGTAACGTGAGACCAGCAGCAACACCGAACTCCGACGAGACACATCCTGAAAATGAAAAAGCGCAAACTACAAGGGACGAAAAAGAATTGTACTCACTGACTAAGGTGAGGAAAGGCATACTGTGCTGCAGAAAATGGGGCGGGCTGCATGCTTCTTCCGGTCTAGATACCGCACTTCCCGTTTGTAGCTCGATCACGTGACCGTCTCTCCGGTAGAATGTCATGCACATAAAACCGCTCCGACTGGAAAAAAGAAGAGATCCGCAAAGATAAGATCCGTAAAGGCCAGAACGACATATTCTATCGTTGTCTAATCGCAATCACCGCAGACACTCAAATAGATATGGGCCAAAAAAATTACGAGAAGTAACAATTTCGTAAATGCAAATCGATTCTCGCAGAAATTTGTCTCCGTGCAATAAATTTCTTCTATATCAGTTTATAATAATTGTTAAATTTTTCATGATTTCCAGATATTTTTAAGAATTAAATAATAATAATTTTTAAATTAAAAAATAAAATATTAAGTTCCTAAATAGCGTCTCCTCTTTTTCTGATCTTAAAATTTATGAAAATTAAATTATTTCTCTCTCCGTCTCTCTCAATGCAAACGTAAAATCGTAAAAAGGCTTATATAAAATCGAATATCGTCATATAAGATATGAGATATGCAAGGGGAAGTCGAGCTTACCAGCCAACAGTGAAATGTGCTACCAGCATCATCGTCATGGTCTGCGCGCCATTCGATTGCTTTATGCTATTGCAGAGGATCTTCACGTCTTGATCTTCCGGTCCGGGCACGTATTGCAAGTCCATAGACCCACTTTCGAAGCCCGACGAAGTCGCGTTCGGTCTGGCGACGTGCAGAGACGCGTTTCGCGGATGAAATGTATAGGATCTACCGAGGTCCAAAGTGTGCCAGGTCAGTCCGCCACTCGAGTGTCCAGTCAGCCAATTTGGGAATCGACATTCGCCCGGGGACGAGACTAAAATCAGAAACGGCACGTCGTTTTCAGTCGTTCAACGCGCTTCTGTGTGTAATCAAAAATAAGAAATGGCCATTGTATCGCATTTTAAACCCACATCTCTCACGAACGACAATAGAATAAACGGAAAATCGAAAGACAGATTCCTCATCGCTAAAATATTTTAGTACATGGCATCCTCCCATAACTTTTATCGTGTGATCTATGAATATGTTTATAAGGAAGAAATTAATTAAGGGTTGAATATACGTTCTATCTATGGCAAAATACCCTTATCGAAATATTTTACCAAGGAAATTCTCTTGTATTTGAATGTTTCGAAGTGAATGTTTCGAACTATCAAAAACTGCGATTAGATTTTCTCGTTAGATAACGTGCGACCGAGTTTGCGCTTCCTCGTTAGTTGGAAAATTCTACCGGGGTGTTGGGTCAAAGGCGGCTCTACTTGAAACCTCTCCCCGTGCAACTCTCGTAAAACGAACGATTCTCCTGGCGATCGTTACGTGTCCCACCACGTATACGGGCTCGTCGTTCGTAAAGGCCGCGACTTCGACGTTGATGGAGGCTACGTAGAACCGATGCCCAACACCATTAAAAAATTCCATCGGGCCGCTCGTAGTAAAGTCTTTCGTATCGCGGAACGACGACAGTCGATAAATCGACAAACGTCGATTCTCTCTCTCTCGATAGCGAAGCGGAATCGTATACCGGATATCGCGCGGTCCAACGAATACGCCTATTCCAGCCTCATCCTTCTCTGCCTTTCCGTTTCGCTTTCGCGCAACGGATCCCACAATAGCGAGTGTGCACCGACGATGCACCAACCCTTCCGTGTCATACGTTCGTTAGCGTCCCACTTCCGGTCCGAGTGGGTATGTAAAACCAGAGCGTCGGAAGAGGTCACCCCCCCCCCTCCCCGATCCGTCGAGTGGTTCACAGCGATGGGGTACGAGGGCAAAAAGGTCGACCGAGCGGGTTAACGGAGCGCTTGCGCGCGCGTGCAACGTTCGGTCGGTTTTATGGCACATAAAGGCATTGTTGCACGCAGCGCGGCAATGAATGGAAATAATTCAACAACTCGGTTCGATAAGTTCATTCGCGATGCCTACGACCAAGATACAAATTCCGCAATCGTAAAAGTCAAACGGATTCCTTTCGCTCGTATTTTTAAGGTACGGGAACTATTTCGCTGTTATCTCTCTATTCGCTCATTTTTATCGTGTTATATTAGAATTGATAACATCGATAACATTATTGATTCGCAATTCAATACGTTTCCTCGTTTTACTTTTTCATTTTGTCTGTTGATATTTATTGATTGGTCTGTATTTTTTTCATTGCCCGTCAGATAAACTATTACCTACGTAATTTATTCATTTAACGGGACAGTCGTGAGAGTGAAAGAGACGTGACGTGAAATTTTTAAATTGCGTATTACGTAAAAAAAAACAAAAGGTACGGATATTACGTAATATCACATGTATCGGTGACCTATATCACGTTCTTTCAGAAAAACGCATTTAAATTCTCATCAAATGATTTATACTACAAATGCAAAATTACGTATTGTCCCAGTTTCGTCCTTTTTAGATTAATTGCAGAAAACGATAAAATATAAATGGTATATACTCCACCGTGTGTCTCTTTAATATCATATGACAAAATGTAATCTCGTATAACATAATAATAATAATGCCCTACATTTATACTATTATTTCTGCTGTTTTAAAAATTTTCATTTTTTTTTCTGCAATATCATCTGTTTTCGAACTTTCGTTTAATTTGTCTTTCGACATCGCAAAATTGTATTGGCAGCGAATGTTCGAAATTTGTATGTCGCATATACCCGTTTAAAAAGTGGTCGGCGACGTTAAAATTGTTGGCAATTAATGTTGTTTTTTTCTCCGGAAATTAAGTTTCTAAAATTGGTAGTTGTTACATGTTGGAAAACTATGCACATCGCTGAATGAATTTAACTGCTTTGAATCGGTCTACGTGCAATTTTGAGCGAATTACAAGTAATTGTAATGCAGATAAAGCGACGGTAATTCGGTGGAATATGCGTGATGTCATGATTATGAATTTATATATGAATTAATAATTGAGTGGATGTACGCGTACGCACGTGCGGGGAATTATGTTGATTTCAATGTGTGCGTATATTACATTTATACCGTTACTGGCAATCGCGTTTGACAAACGCTCGACATTTGTATTATTCGCAATATTCTTTTGTAGATGTAACAGAATTGGGTTAAAGCAATTCGGTCGCGCTGATAATCCGAGATAGAATAGAGCGAAATATAAATTGCATAATCATAAATTCGACTATATAACACATGTCTTTCGACTTAGTCCCTTGACCTTTTTCCAATTTTTTATCGTTTTAACATTTATATCCATATATATTATCTTTCATTTTCATTTTCGTTTTCACGATTTTTCATTCAGCTCTTTTAATCCCCACTGAATCTATGTTCGATCCAGTCTTTATTCCAAAAATAATTATTATTCTTTACTTTCTTCATTTTAATATAATTTTTATTTTATTTACATAATTTAAAAAATAGTTATAAAAAATAGTTATGAAATTGTACCTTAACATTTGCGTAATTTATCTAATATAATAAATTTTATTTATATTACAAAATAATTTAAATCTAAATTATCATGTCATTATCTTTTCGTTGATTGTTGTAGTTTGATAATAAAACGAGATAACATTTTGCACTTTCATTGGCTTGGTAATAAAACTTCGATTACGTGAAAGCAAAATTGACACGTTCATCCAATTCGAGCGTTGCTCTTCAAATTTTTCGATCGAATAATTTGGAGCAATTTGTCCTTCCGTTCGCCTACTTGACCCTCCCTCCGACCGTATGCTCGGGGGCGAGTATCGTCTCAGGTCGTAGTCTCGCAGTTTTCCCCGGATATTTACTCTCGGCGAAGTAGATGCCGAGCTAATTGAACGAACTTCGGATCTCGACCGAGGCTGCGGACGCGGTTAATAGGGGCTCGCGAGTGTCGGAAGATGAGGGCGAGATACGTACGCGAGCTGAGAGCGAAGTGGAACAAAAGAAGCCCAGGCTAAGGCTCGAAGGGTAAAGCGGGAAAGGTTCAATGTTAATCCATTTTTCCGCGTCCCTTCACCTGGCTGCCCTTCCGCCTTTACCTCGCACTTTTTCCTAGACGCGGATCGTAATATTAACGGCGGCGAAGCTTACAAGCATCCATCCCCCCAAGGCTTGTCTCTGCCCCGCGTCTTTAAGCCTCCCCCTTCTTTCTCCGTGCCGATCCTTTTTCTCCCTTTTCCCTCGTTCTCTCTTCTCTTCTTTTCTTCGGCGAGTTTTATGCGCGTGTCGGTGACTCCCACTCGACTTAAAACGATTTGCCGAAGAAAGTGGCAATTGGAGAGCGCGGCAAAGAAAGGCAAAGAAAGAGGGCGAGAAAGAGGGAAGGAAGGCTGGATACGACGAAGATGGCGCGGGAAGATCGCGAAAATCCACCGGAGTGAAATCCGTTAACGAAGTTTGTTGTGAGACTGTGCGGAGCAAGATACGGGTTTGCAAACTCGAGAGGCGGTACGGCGGTAAGGAATAGGGACGCCAGAGGGACGGGAAGGGAGTGGAGACCAGGGGGCGGGAAAAATAAAACGCGGACGCGGAAAAGTCGTGCAAATATGCTCTTCTTACTCGCTGAGCGAAGCCGGCATGTTCGATTAGCGCGTGCCTCTGCGAAAACACAGTTTTGTCTCGCGAGAAATAAGTCTAAAAAGACAGACGAGGCGGGTTTTGTCATTCATCATCAGCAGTCGGGCTTTGTCATCGCTCGTGAGGAATATTATTTATTGTCCCTATTATTATGTCACGTGAGTTTTATCATGCAAATAATGGCGTTAATACGTTATCATCGATCTCCTCCAGCTCACTCACCTACTCTCTCCATTTTCCTTTCCATTTTCCATTTACTCATGAATAGTAACTCGCGAGGCTATGACTGGTATTTTTTTTCCACGAGAGAATTTACTACTATACTAAAACTTATACCCGTGCATGTCGCGATACGAAAGTTCTAAAATGTCCGAAAGCATTTCCATCAAAATCACTATTATTCAGATCGCATTCTAATTAAAATTACATACACGGGCTACGTGCGTATTCGCCTAATTGCCTCTTTTTCGTATCACCCGAATAAATCTAGCTATAATCGGGCCGTGCCCTACCTGTCCATTTCAACAATACAGCATAACGTAACAAAATGTCAACTCACGTGGCATGATAATGGCACTGCCATGCGCGAGGTGTGCGGCATATGAGATTGGCTGTTACACAACAATGGAGGATCGGTTATTTTTCGGTGGCGCTTACCGGGAATAGGAAGTAAGCTATATAGCGTATCGCTCGGCCACGTGTGACGCGTGTGCGCGTGTATGTACACGCGGCGGACCCGAATTTTAACGATCACGCTTCAGGTGTAAGCTGCAACGGTAACGATCCGAGCCTGGTTTATCATCCGGCCGCTTTTGTTCTCGGCGCGATAATTTCGGCGGATATCGCGATAACATCACGGCCACGATTCGTTACGCCGAGTATCGCGCGCCGTTGCTGACCCTCCGGGCGCGAACGGTGAAATTAAGAAAACACAGGATATTTATGACTGTGAAATATCCGCGTGTACATTTCGGATCAAAAGACTCTTCTCCGGGAGCAGCCGGTATTATGCGCGATGTTGTTTGATCCAACGTTACTTATCCTCCGGCGCAGTGCGGGCGAGTTCCGCGAGTTCCGAAAATCGCGGAACGGAAAATGGCGTGCGTACGATTTGGAAAACGTGACATGGGGTGGCGCCGATCGACACGGTGAATCCTCCAACGGGGTTGGCCTTACGGTTTTAAAGTCCGCTTTCATCGCCCCGAGAATTTCATATCTTTCCTTTCGCGATGATATTTATCAAGCGTAATGCGGGAGCGTGAAGCCCCGGTAATTATATATGAATCCATTAACGAAGCGAAATGGGATTGCGAGCCCCGAGATGAAAAGCGAGTAAGACGGAAATGCGCGAGCGGCGCGCGAGGGCAGGGGGGAAGGGGGGATGTAGGCGACCCGCCCCAGACGTCGTGCAAACACGGCTCTTCTTATTCATGGAATGAAAAACCCGTACGTTGATTAGCAATTCTTTAAAGTATACGTTACCGTCACTCCCGGCTCGCATTTCGCAGCTTATAACTTAATATTGTCGAGTGCTGCGGACATTTCGCTTAAGACGTTACACGGGGAGCATAATGATCAGGTTATGCAAACGGCATCGGGGATGTAAAATCGCGCACGCGCACGCGCTCGTGCGGTTCGTAGGAAAAAAATTTCGAAAATCCGGCCAGCCAGAAAATAACGATAAATTAAAACGTCCGTATCCCGTTGGGAATCCTCGTCAAGCACGTATTTACACTGTAATAATTAAAATCTACGAGAGCGGTACAAATGGAAAAATTTTAACGACGATGGATCGTACAACTGGATGGGAGATATGATTCGCGGATACGATTTATTATCGTGCGATATCTCACGATAGTTAAACATTTTTTAACTGCCATAACTTTTCCATCCGCTAAATATCTGTGTTATCGCGCAAAATCTTCGTTACGACACATAGTTATAATTATTCGACGATTAAAGATTCGAATATAAAATAACTTTTTAATAAATTCATCTCTTTTTTTACACATATCAATTTGTTCTCATCAAACACATGTCTCCTCTTCAGAAACAAAGTTTATTACTTAATGCGGCAAAATTAGAGAACAATGAATTAGATAAAAAGTCGCATCGAAAATGAAATTAAATTAATTTGTGATAGGCCAGGTGAATGAGAATCGGATTACTTTATACATTAAGTTTCTCAATACGATCGGATTATAAATGTAGAAACAGTTGTGTCTGAAATGAGACAAGAAATAATTCAACGCCCACATCATCGTTTCAAAATGAAAAATGAAAGATTTGTTGATCGTATAAAATATTTAAAAAAATTAATTATAGGATATCGGCTAGTGTTGTATTAAACTTTAAAGAAGCAGTGTTAACCTTCTGCAAAAGCTATGAAGTAAAATAACGCGTATTATACACGATTATGTACACACAAGCCATTTTACAACGCGCAGTATGAAAATTTAAGTTTTGTCGAGTGATAGATAAAAATTTGATAAAAATTTTAATTTTTCATAATTCATTCAATTTAACATTTTCATCGGGCCTTACCTTTCCTCAGGGTCATCGTTCGAGAACCCTCCATGGGGCTGAATAAACCGTTGCACGTCGCGTCGCCGCTCTGTGCCACCCGGTATACCTCGGCGGAACCCTCGGGCACCGGTCCGCCCGGCAGGGTGACTTCATGGTCTATGGTGCCCATCCCCATGGCTGCCCTGTTCAGGTTGCTCTGCACCGTCTGGCCTGCCTTCTCGTAGACGAAGCACCGATATCGATCCTCATTGCTGGACGCGTGGCCGTGATGCAGGCGGCCGACTAAGTAACGGCTGCTGCCCTCCTTCCAGGTGGCCAGGCATTCCAGCTCCTCCACTGGAAAAGAGAGTACGTTCATCTTGAGAAAATCCTGCTAACAGTTAGTTTCGAGCAAGTTTTCCAAATCGCCCGCGTGACGTAACACACAACGTAGTCGATATTACGTTCAACGTTAGTCTTAGTCGGCGCGAAAACGTATCGAAAAACGGATTGCACAAAATCCTCGCCGAATATTCACGTGGAATTTACGCGTTTTTTTTCGATTAGTCATTCATGATGCGCTCGTGACGTTTCCGAATCTGGCAGAGTGCCCCTCTCGTCTACGGAGTTCTAAACGAAGTTTCAGGATTAGGGATTTTTAAACCGGCCTTTTCTCGTTGTTTATTCAAGTGGGTGAAACTCTCTCGTAACAGACAGCGGACCTGCCGCTGGTGTGTTTCTTTAATCCTCTGTGAGAGCGCGGCGCGAGTCTCTGGCGAGGTCTCTGCGTGCGAAACCAGCGAATTGTCGGGCGGCGCCCGACGTGTTAAGATCTGCTTAGATCCGAGCACGCGCGCAAACGCGCGAGCGCAGAGAGCGTGTGTAAAGCATTTGAAACTTCGAAAGCGCATTTACCGCTTTCGAAGCGTGTTCACAAGATAATGGTGAGGCACGGTTGCGGCCTGACACTGCGCGCTCCTATGTTTAAACCGTCTGGAGCAACAAAATTAAATGAATTTGAGTTTGACGCTCGGAGCGCTAAACGTGCCTTCGAAGTTTCAGGCGTTTTACTACACGCTAGACTCGCTCTCAGGGACGGCAGGTCGAGCTTCAGCTCGATATACGATGTATCTCAAAGTTTTATTCTGCCGGAGCGACTCTGCCCGCACCGGTGAAAACCATTCGCTAGACAAAGAATCGAAAGGAAAGCTTTTAATGACGCTCGCTTAACGGTCGTACTCCTCGAGAGCGGCTCTTAGGTAAGATCTTCCGGGAATGTACACCGTAGCTTTAGATACAGCTGCGGAAACTTTACAATATCTCCAGTAAACGATTGGAAATAGAGTGATCTCATCGTTGAATTCGCATCGCGCCAGCAATTGCTGTTCTCATCTTTCTTCTCTTCCATTTTACTTTTTTTTTTTTTACTTAAC